TTGGGGCAGGCTGCCGTCCCAACAGGGAGTACTGAACAGGCGAGCGCCTGTGTTGTAACCCCGGATAACTCAGCACATGTTGTCTGTGCTGATTTTAGGAGAGGACATGTGACACTGAACGTGAGCGAGCATAAAATTAGCAGGTTCCTCCTTCCCTTGCAAAGCTGGAGTAAACAGGGTGACTTAGAGGAGGTCAAGGGCTGGATGGGAGCCCATCATGGGCAAATCACGGCACCTGGTGCTCTTGTATCTGAGCCCATCCCATACACCAGCAGCACGGCATGTGCCATGGGAAATAATTACATGGTATCTTAATTACCTTCCTAAATTAAGGCCTCAGTTACTTGCTAGCACATGCTAAGACTTGTATGCCCTGTGTGTTAAACCTTCCTAATGCTGTCAGTCTGGTTTCATTCAGGTCTGTGGAGATCCTGGTGATAAAGTACTTGAACACCCTGGTTAGATTTGGTGAGTTATGTAAATCCCTCCCAGAAATCTCAGTGCTCTTTCATCCCTGAAACTGCTGCTCCACTCCTAAGAGAAGGCTGCAGTTGAATGTGGGGTCTCTTAGCCTAGAAATTGCTCAGGAACAGTGGCAATAAATGCTTTTTCATGCTCTTTTTTTTTGCTGTTGCTGCTTTTGAGAAGTCCTTTTTGGGGGTGAAATTTCCCATGGCAGGTCTTAACCTGGAAGGGAGATTTCTTGGAAAGGTTGGGCTGAATTTTTTCCTTTAGTTTTGAGATTAAGAATGGAATAACTCTTTGAGAAAATCCTTTTTCACACAGCAACAGAAACAATTGCTGAAGACCAAAGTTGAACACCTGCAAAGCTCCCAAGCCAAACCACAAGCCTAGGTGTGAGAGGGCATATGCTTTCTGTTAATAAAGCTGGCCAGCAGCAGCTTTGTCAAGTGCTGAAAATTATGAATGGACCTTATCACATCAATGAAGCCAGCTTAAAGAATCATAAGGGCTAAAACTACAATGAAATGGGATTTTTCTTCATTTCCCTCATGTGGTTTTGAAGCTTAAGGATCCCATTTTTCCACTTTTTTTTTTGAGGGGGGTCCTATTTTTTCAAACTTCAGTATTTAGAAACACTGGGGGTAGGAAGAAGATTTCTGCTTCCCATTTTTCTCTAATTCTTGAAATCCTCGTGTGAACCAGAGAATTTCTGGAATTGAATCTTTAAGAAAAAAAAGACCATACCCCAGACACTACCAAACACATAATCAAAATCACAAGAGAGGTCAATGGGGTCCATACACTTAGGACCACTTGTGAATTAGAGAAATCATCAAGGCCAAAAATGCAGCCAAGGCCTATGGCCATACATGGACCTGGCAAAACCTCTGCCCTCCAGCCCAAACTGGTCCGTGGGAAGTGTTGGAGGAATGAAAACTGTGCTGTGCTCTGGTCTGGTCACCCTGCCCTTGGGTTCACCAGTGATCCTGCAGGTAGAAGGGGACCACAGATCTCTGGGGCTGCAGATGCGGGGTGAGCTGGGGCAGGAGGGCACCTGCTGTAACGGGAACGGCTGTGACCCCCCTTCAGTGGAGAACTGGGGCTTTGATTTTAAGCGCATGTGTCCCTGCGGGCATTTGGGCATCTGCTGCTCCCAGGAGAAATGCAGCTTTGGCGTTCTGGAGATGCACAGATTTAGTGAGTCTTGAAACAGTAGGGGAGGTAAAATATATAATGGAAGCACTTAATTTCTTTTTTTATTAAAAAAAATGAGAGAAGATGATGCTTAGAGACCAAATGCATGAGAGAAAAAGATACAGAAGAGGAGAGTGAGAGAAAGAGAAAGAGAGAAAGGAAGGAAGGAAAGAGAGAAAGGAAGGAAGGAAGGAAGGAAGGAAAGTGTGAGAGGAAAAACTCAGTGTATTAAGAGAAAGAGAGAAAGGAAGGAAGGAAAGAGAGAAAGGAAGGAAGGAAGGAAGGAAGGAGAGAGGGAGGGAGAGAAAGGAAAAAGAAAGATAAAGGTACATGATAAAGAAGAAAATAAAGATAGAGAGCAAGAGGAAAGAAAGAGAGAAAGAAAGAGGAAAAGGAAAGGGAAAAGGAAAAAGGACAGGAAAGGAAGGACTGCATGCGTCAGGGGAAAGGTGGTCTGAAAATGACATGAACAACATTTTAGCGGTTGTGCAAGTCAGGACATTCAGGACATTACTTTGATGGAAAAAACCTTCCTCAAAATTGTTTTGTGGAAAATGTCTCTCCAGCTGAAGTCACTGACAACACCCCTGAAGAGAGCATTTCCCCCGCATTTCAGGGCCGGAAGATGCTGAGGGAAGGTGTGTGTCCCACGGAGAGCATCACCCTGAGCCCCAACAGGAGGGCAGCTGGGCATGGGTGCAGAGGAGATCCACCCACTGCTTTGGAGGAGAAAATACCATCTCTCCGTGAAATCTACCTTAGCTCTATGTTCCCCTCACTTGTCAGCTTTGAACTATGATCAGGAGGGCAGACACCCAATGGGAGGATGCAGCGATGATAAAATCAGGGCCAGGTCTGTTTGTACCACGTCCCTGATGCTCAGGTCCTGAATTTTCCTGCTCACCCTCACATGGCACAACGGGGCAAAGCAACGTGGAGAAGACCAGGCCACCAAACCATGGACATGTTAAGTCTTGTAGCATCACTCACAGCCCTGAAACCATGCACCCCGGCTGATGGTGCAGGTGACCAGATGTTTGCAAGGAAACAATGGGCTTGAAACCTTCTAGTTCAATGCAGGTTGCCTCGCACCCCATGGACAAGCTGTCTATCTGCTCCACATGCATGCGCGTAAACTGATTGCATGAAACCTTGCTTCATGCCTGATGCTCAACAAAATTCCTCATTAAAAAGAAACAAAACCTTTCCATAAATAGCATGCATGCCATTTTCCTTACACAAGCTGTCCTTAGGCCTTCAGATGCAGCTTGTTTTATATTTTGCATAATAATTCCTTAGGACAGTTGGCTTTTAATCACAGACACAGCATAACGCAGCTACTGCAGCACCGATACCCTGATTTCTGAAAATTTGGCTATAACAGCATGGAAGCCAGGACATGGGCTGGGACCAGGATGGTTACGCAGTGAGGAGATGAAGAGATACTGGCAGGTGGTTTGCCCAAAGCTGTCTCCAAAATGGTTTTGGCATCGCCATATCTGTCAGCAAAGGCTGTAATACAGAGTCATGAAGTGTCTGCTAGGATTTAAAAGTAGAAAAAATTGCCTTAGCTCACAACAAGGAGATTGACATTAATGTTAGCAAAAAGACCTGTAACTGCACTGAAATATGGTGCCAAGGAAGCACCTACCAGCTCCGGACTCATTAACATGTCCTGATGATTTTTGGAGAAAGTAATGGTGGTAAAGCCAAACTCCCACTGGGCTGGAAGCCTTCGGGAGAGGGTGTCCAGGCCCGTGCACCAAAACTACACCCCAGCATGCCAGAGCGTCGAGCTGAACTGCCGCGGGATTTCCTGCAATAAAGAAGAGCCGTCCCTGAGCTGCTCCCCAGTCCTGCAAACCACACCAGGAGGGCTCAGCAGCAGGAGCACCGGGATTGCTCTCAGCTGCCCTGCCCTGCGCCCGGTCAGCCAAACGTCCTGCAAGACAGGCAGGACACAGGCAGTTGTTGTTTGTTTTTTGGGTGACTCTCAGCTGCAGCGTCCTGACATTTTCCTCAGACCAAACACCTACCTTTCCAGGGTTCACTTCTTTGGTTATTCAACCGCACACCCACCGGCAGAATTTCTGAACCACAGAAATAATACAACGCAGCCACCAAACATGGTTTTGCTCTAATCTATTCTTTATTTCAAAAATAAAAATAAAATCCCCACCTTCATCAGCTGTACCAATGACTTCCCATGTGAGCTCATACTGAAACTTGCATGAAACTCTGATTCACTGTGTTTACTTTGCATGGAAAAAGGATGTTAGAAACCTTAAAAACATAATCATGCATAGAATCTTACTTAAATAATATTAATTTCATCTAACTACAATAATTATTATAATTCTATTAAGATTATTAATACCCTTACATTAATAGAGCATCAGCCCAGAAGCATATCAAGAGAGACATTAGAAAAAAATAATCAAGAAGTAAAGCACATCTCTCATCATCATTTTTCTTTGATTACCTAAAATAACTGCAGCAAATCTGTTTTTGTAGGTCAGGTTTTCTTTGAAGTACATCAGTTTTTCAACCTCAGTGCAACTATTTTGTATTAGCATAAAATGATTTTGTAATGCAGTATTTGGGTAAGTTTCTTACACAGAGGGCCAAAAGCACATAAATCTGTCTGCTCAGAAGCTGATGCTCAGGCACACGTTTTCCATCCTGGTCTTCAGAGGCCATTTTAAAGATTAATTCTTTTTCCTTGCATGACCTTTGCTCACTTCTTGCAAACACCCTGCATTAAAAAAACAAACAAACAAAATACTTAGAAGCCACCATCTTTGGCTACAGTGTTTCCTGCTTATTCCTGGCATGACCTTATCTGTTTGGTCATGTATTCATAAAAGTACCCATTAACTTACTCATTGTCTCTTCAAAGTCTCCAGCAAAAAAGTACAGACAACACTAAATGAAATAAAAGGCTACAAATCCCAACGCACAAAACCACACTTGAAATAAGCCAAAAGGCTCATTGGATTGATGCGGTTTGCAGAGAAGACACCACGGATGGGTACTGAATAAACTGTGTCCTCCTATTCTTGCATATTCAGTTAGAGTCACCTAAACAGCTGCTGGCCTAAGTTTGCCCTAGCTGGGCTGATTTGCACTGAAAGATACCAAGGTGCCTGGATGAAATAAATTTTGGCAGCTCAGAGGTGGGGATGGCGATGAACAGAGCTGGAGGGGGAACTTGCAGAGCTCCTCCGCTGCTTTCCAGAGACAGGAAGGGGCTGCCTGGAGAGCAAGGGCACTTCTCCAGCACAGGCAGCCAGGCAGCAAGAGGCAGCCTTATCAGCTAAAAGGCCAGAAATTCTTGCTAGTTACAAGATAAGGTCACGATTTAAAATTACCACAAGGTCTGAGGCAGAAGTCGCTTTGTATTTTGCATGTCCAAATTCAATTACTTTTTTCTCCAGGTGCTCTTGGTCTGTGTTCTTGACATCAATGTAGTAGCACTCTGAGCTGGTGAAGCAACAGCTTATACTCTGCGTGAGGAAATGGGGCATCACTCACTACCACATCGATTACAAATGACCGGTGAAAAAAAACTCGTGCATCCCGGATCGTGGACACACGCAACCTAAAGCAATACTTTACTTGCTTGATCTCAGATTACCAGCAACCAGAGTAGCAAGCAGAGAAGTCAGGGTCAGAGCAGACCTGTGTGTTCAGTAAGGGTTCTTACTTACTCTGCACCCAGACAGTTGCATCAACCCACTTATTTTGTAATCAGATTTTAGTTAAGAAGACTTTGATGGTGTTTAGCAGCTAAGCAAATACTGACAGCTGTATCTGGAGGTGGTTTCCTACCCTTCGCAACCTGATGTCTTGTTTGCTCTGGAGCCGTGAATGAGCAGGGGATGGAAGAACACTGTGTCTCCCTTCTCCATGACAAGGTGAATCCTGGGACTCTTCTCATCATAATCCAGCAGCCCATGGAAAAATTTGATCGGTGGACTCTAGAAACCAAGGAAGAGTTGAAATAATTTAGTAAAATTAGAATACCACCAGTTTCTCAGTGTAGGAGAAGAAGAGATGCAAAGGTGGTTACTCATTTTCTTTCTTGAAGGTCGTACATTTAATATACTTGATGAAGAGTCTGCATGTTCACCTACAAGCCTTGCTAATTGGTTGTAAAGCACTCACTTATAAAGAACCAGAACGATCCACTCTGCTTTCTCGATCATCTTTGCACATCTTGCTGATAGCTCATCTTCCCCAGCTGCACCTCGTACACACATATGATACGACTTCTCTGCTCACTTTCTCTTTTGACCTGCAAACCCCTATGAGAAATTCCCATCTCACAACTAAAATGTTCTTCATCTGCTTTCTGAAGTTGAATTCAAACAATTAAGAACTTCTCTTTACTGGAGAGAACAGAGAAGAGCACAAGGGAGCCCCACAAGTGTTGCCTGATGCCACCTCTGGGGTGTCAAGTCCAGCCTCCTGCTCCAAGCACAGCCTTCACTAACGCTGGGCCAGGCCAGGAAGCATCCTTGCTTAGAAGAAAAATATTGCTTGAAATTAAATTCTGGTCAATTGTTTATTATCCAATTTTCTTCTACAGGAAAACAAATATGCTTGCCTGGCAGGAACAAATTCAGAGAAGGAGAAAGTGTCTTCAGACTTGACAAGAATAGTGAAAAATGGTTGATCGGTCTGAACAAAGACGAATTTGTAACAATCTTCCCAGACACAGACTGTATTAGAGTGTACCCCCCAGCCAAAATGTGGTCCCCACACGCACGCCCTCCCCAACCCCCAGTGCTGCTCTACCTCCCACTTTGGATAGCCGTGAGGCTTCAGGGGCTCCTTGTGTGTCCCTGGCTGCACGACCAGGCAGCCGTTGTCCTGGTCAGCCCTCTCCATGGCGGTCCAGGAGCAAATCAACTTTGAAAACACTGTAATGTAGTTAATTAAACTTCTTGTATGAAGTAAGACTTTGATCTGCAGCACCAGAAGCCAAAGCTGGGATTCAAAATCCTTCCTTTGGCACCTATTCAAGTGTCTTCATATCAAAGCGCTGAGCATGCAAACACTGTCAGCAAGGTCAGGAGTCAGACTAAATTTGACATTTCTGAAATGTTAGTCTGGAAAATAGCACATAAACTCTAAGCGAAGGATCTTCTCTGTATTTATTGTCTTTTACCAAGCTCCAGGAAGCACTTGTTTTCAACACATGTGAAATGTCAGGCCTAAAAAAAAAGTGTCTTAAACAGTGGAGCTTCATGCAAAGTTCAGATGGCTGGATAAGCAGCTGGGTGTCTAATTTTTGCATGTTCCTTTTTGAAACTTGAATGCTGCTTTTTAAAAAAAGTAGTTGAGGGACAGTTAACATGGTGCAAAGACCTAAACTGCAGAAACATATTAAATTAGTTGGAAAGAATGTTTTAGATGTAACATGCGGTTAGATATAACAGCACTTCAATTTAGGAGGCACACACGTACCTCCCACCATGTGAACCCGAACATCTACAGCAAAGAGAACGATAAGAAATGTATCCCACCAAGCCAGGGCTAAACTAAAACACACTATTACCAAAATAACTTCATATATTTTCAGAATTGCATTTAATTTAATTCAATTCAAGCAACTTTTCTAAAAGTGTAAGTGCTGCTTCAGTTAAACACGCAGCAACCCAGGCATACTAACAACTTCTGCATTTCCCTCTCCCTGGAGCTCTGCTTACCAGGATCTGGAAGTTCATTTATCAGCATCATCTGCATGGCCATTATGTTTGGCCCTGTGAAGCATTCAACATATTTTAGGATCTACACAGGAGAAAGCGATAGAAGAAATATTTGTGGTTTATGCTGCAGTAGTATATAGCAAGTAAAACAAAAGCTAGGCAGATCTATGCCATAAATTACTTGTTGATTGGGTTGTTCATGAGGGTGGACCTATTATCAGCAGTTTTACCCGAAAGAAAAACCAGGCACAAACAAACCACCTAGAGATGCTGCCATAGGTGCAATGCTCACCAGCGCTTTCTCTGCTGCAGTATATGCCAAGGCATTGCCGAAGATGGATGACTGCCAGGGCAACAGCTCAAGAGCTTTGCAAAATCTCGTATGTCCACCTCTGATTCTCCAACACAACCTGACTTCTGTAGTACTCCAGGATCCAGGACAAGCCAATACATGAGGAACTGTATTTACATATTACATACATTAATATACTTTCTTATCTTATGAAAAGTGATGGGAATCTGCTGCTGCTAACTACCCCAGCTTCAACACAAAGTACAAATCCATCTGACATTGGATGGAGCATGTATTAAAGTAGGCCTGTACAGAACAGAGCATCACATAACCTTCCAGAAGGGTTAGTTTGGCCTGTCCAGCTTGGACGTTGCCTTCACCTTGGCATTAAAACATAAATATATTCACAAAGCTCTACTAGGTTCTTCCACCACCATCCCCCTATTAGCTTTTTACCTCTGGCAGAGTACAGTATCAGAACACCTCTTCATCTTCCTGGAAATCATGTGCTTTATTAACTGTTTTTGCAGACCGAACAAAGTTGGGTCTGTGGACCTCGTCTCTCGTTATCAGAACTCCTGGTGGATTCACCTTGTTGCAGATCCTCACAAACTCCTTCCTGCAAAGCAGAGGGAACCGGAGAAGCCAGAGCACATTTTAGCCGTGTTCGGCCAGATTACTCTCCTCAAAGACACTATTGCTACAGACGAAGGTATCCAGCAACAGCATGCACATCTGTGTTGGGAGAGTCCAGCTTCCTCCAGCTTCCCAGAGCTCCCTCGGGATGCTGCTGCACACAGGACCCCCAGCACCTTAGGCAAGTGCCCCGTACCTGAAGCGCTCAATGTCTTTGTCAGAAACGAGCTTCTTAATGAGCAGATACCCACAGGACCCCGCACCTTAGGCAAGTGCCCCGTACCTGAAGCGCTCAATGTCTTTGTCAGAAACGAGCTTCTTAATGAGCAGATACCCGTTGTCTTCATAGAACTGCCTTTGCTCTGTGGTGAGGACATCGTTGTCCAGGGTATAGCTGAGACACAGAGGAGAAACACGTTAGTAGGGCCGGGCAGAGCAATGGGAGAGAAACTCTCCCCACAGCAGACACCAAGGGCACTTGGAAGAAAATAATTAAAACTAAGTAGGAATTGAAATACAATGTTTGCTTTTTATTTTTGTATGAACGAAGATACAATTTACCGAAACATCCTTGGCTGAGCAGCAGCACGAGCTGCTGCTGGAGCAGGAGCAGTTATCTGGGATATCAATTAAGGAATATACACTCAGGCACAATAGAGTATGAAAACATTACTGCAGAGAAATGACACCCCTCCCAACGCCTCACAGGGAAAGCATGCAGAAAGGAAACCTCCAATTCATTTTAATGAGTTTAAACAAACATGACTGCGTTCTGCTAGGCAGAGACAGCACAGTCTCACCCACAGGACAGTTACCCCCCTTGCTAACGAAGCCTCACAACAGCTTTGCGCATGGTATTGAAGCTTCACCCAAAGAAAGTTTAAACCTTACCTGGTGAAGTCACACGAGGTGTGAGCATGGACACAGCCCGTTGCACGCAAATGCAACTGATAGTGGCGAGTCAGAGGAAAGCAAAAGGGGTGAGAGGAGCAGCTGAGGAGGGAGATGTAAGAAGGGAAAAGCTCAGGAGACAGTGAGGAGGAAGAGGCACGTGCAGGGTGGAAGCAGTCAGTGAGAGCAGGGTGGGAAGCACCGCAGCAGGTCTCAGAGCAAAGGACGCCCATACAGATGGCACTGCTGCACCAAGCTCATCAGGAGGTAAATGCTTCATCCCATACTTTGGGTCCCAATTTCAGTGGAAATGGGACTCGCGGCTGCTCAGGTTCTCCAGATGTCCAGGGCGCTGCTCCTACCCACAAAACCTCCAGGAGGGTCTTTCCCCTTCTCTTCAGGCATCACCGAGCTGATGGAGACACAGGCGCTGGCTGAACCCCAGCTGTAGTGCCCTCCTCAGCACACCTCCACCTCCCAGAACGGGGGGACAGCAGACAAGTCCACCAAGCACTGGACTCCATTTGAACACCTTCCTCCTGGGCTTTGCAGTGCCTCTTCATCTCACTGGTTTTGCTCTTGCCACCTTGCAACACTCAAAGGACAAGTTTGGGTTGCTTGGACAACTGAAAACAAGAGGTACACAGGCTGGGAAGCAGCCGCTGCCTCCAGCGGCTCATTTTGGTGAAGACATGGAGTATTTAAACATTTCCCTTCCCCTCACACACACCCTTTTGGGAATAATGTATTCAGAGACATGTTAGCCAACTGCGCAGGCAATATAATACTTGGGTACACTCAGAAGCAAGCAAACGCTTTTGGAGAGACTGGCACAGCAAGGTTCAAGATTCAGATACCTTCATTTATTGTTCACAGGATGCTGGGGAACACTGTTAAATTTTTTTTTTTTAAAAAAAAGGCCTTTGTTCTAACAAGCCATTTTCAGTTTTCCAAATCCATCTCTCTTCCTGGTTCCTGCGCTCTTCAGGAGAAACGCCTTCAACACAAACCTGCAAAGGAGCCAGGAAATCCAGACTTCTCCATACAACCTCCTCACCGCAGCCATCCAAGAAAAAGAAAGACATCAACCTGGGAAAGTCAAACTCTCAAATACCATGGCAAGTAAGTTTCCTTGTGTGCTTGCAGTTTGAGGCAAAGTCACCAAGTGCAAACGCTGCTTTTCCTCCCAGCTCAGTTCAGAGCTGCAGATGAATTCACAGGTGCAAGAGCAAAGTTCTTGCAAAGACAATTGTGAATGTGGCTTTTTCTCTGTTAACACCTTTCAGTTGGTGAGAGAGGAGGCTGGGGATACCGAGTGCAGCACTCTTTGCTTTCTTACGTCAAGCATCCAAGAAACACCTCCAGGATCCTCCATGCCCCATTTCAGGCTGTGGAAGAAGACCATGCCTTGCACTTTCCAGATCACAACATAGCCGATGTGGAGACCACTGTTGCTTTCCACTCACCCCCCTCCTCCCTTTCCACCCCAGCCCAGATCAGAAAGGATACAGGAGCAGGGGCTGCACCCAGCCATGGGGATAAGCGCCGTAGGACAGCATCCAGCCAAGTGCTTGCGTTTGGCTTTTTCATGATGACTTTGATGGTGAGAAGACAGCACCAAGAGCCCAGCTTGCCACCCAGCACCTACAAGGTCTGCACAGCACTCAGGGTGGAGCTCAACCATAGCACGTGCAGCATCGAGATGACAGTCCCTGGGTGCCGTTTGCTCCTCTTCACCTCCCCTGTGCATGGGCTAGTGCCTGTGCATGCCCAGGAGCCTCTCAAGAAGCTGTGGGTCTCACCACCCTGGCTGGGTGACGGGCAGGAGTGAAGGAACAGGAAGATTTGGGAACAGGAGAGCTTGTTGCTAGAGGCTGGGAAGTAGGTGGGGAAAGTTCAGGCATGCTTCTACATGCTCCCTTTCCTGTACTCTGCTCATTCGCAGCTGCCAGCAGCTGCCGTGATGGCTGCGAGGACATAGCCAACAAGCGTGCAGAACCCAGCGCCTGGCGCACTCAGTCACGCATCGCATCTGTGCTGGCACGGGTGGTTTGCTAAGTTAAACAGCACGATGGCTCCTGTCCTCTAAGAGTGCCCTGCTGGGAAAGAAAAAGCCTGGAGGGGAAATCCTGGAGTAGGGAGAGAAGGAAAAGTGAAGCTAGCTTAAGAATGGGGAGCTGCAAACAGAGGTTGCAAAGGCATTGTATTCCTCTCAAGTTGGGACGTGCTTAAAAATTATGTATTCAATGTACACTCTCCTTAGCAGTGCACTTAGTACTCTCATCTGCCTACATTAACTCCGTGAGTGATATTTGAGAGGAGATAAATATTGAGATTGAATATGGAGCCATAACAGACCTGAAGCACAGTTCAGAAGATGACTTTTGTGCTGGTTTTGGCTGGGATAGAGTTAAATTTCTTCATAGTAGCTAGTATGGGGCTATGTTTTGGATTTGTGCTGGAAACAGTGTTGGTAACACAGGGATGTTTTCGTTACTGCTGAGCAGTGCTTACACACAGTCAAGGCCTTGTCTGCTTCTCACCCCACCCCACCAGCAAGTAGGCTGGGGGTGCACAAGGAGTTGGGAGGGGACACAGCCGGCA